CATATATATATATGTATTTATATATGTATATATATATATTTATATATATTTATATTTATATTTATATTTATATATAAACTTAATTTGTATCGTGGTGCATATACACCTTTGTCGAAGGAATAAAAACTATTTTTATCGTTGGGAACTCATATGTGCAAACCCTCAAGAATTTTTTCATGAACTACCATCATGTAGGCACAGACAAAGGGGACGAAGACCTTGCCGATTGGCTCCATGATGGAAAGGTATCGTTTTATCTACATACTCAATTGCGGGTGTCTTGTTGGTTGTGAGTAAGATTTTAGTTGGCAACATTGAATTTGCTCCAGGCTGTCTGCTTGGAATGTGGTAGTATTTGTGTATTGAATTTCGATCAATTGCTTCGCCTCTATGGATCCCAATTCAAGTCTGTACAAACCCATTCAAAGGCTACCTGATATGTTGTAATTCGTAGAGAAAGATGTGCTGTGGTAGTGGTTGAATCGATCTTTGGTAGTGGGATATAGAGTAGTTGTCCAAACCCTTACAGACCTGAGCTAAGCCGTTTACTGGCAACGTTGCCATAGTCTCAGTTCTAATATTTACATGGAGAAACTGATTACTAAGATACCATGTCATACCATACCATACAACGCCAACTCACCTGTGTGCTATTTAAGTGTATTCTATAGTGCACTGTGATGTGTGCCAGTTGTTAATAGGCTGTATACCTGCTAGTCAATTGTGTGGTGTTTTAGTATATTGCCTATGGTATGCTACTCAGTTGGTCTTGGCAGTCAATGGTTTGTTCCTGCAGTAGATCTCGGTCACTGCAGTGTATGTGAGTGTATATGTGAATACCGCGAGAGCGTTACCGTATACGCGCGGCTGATAACCGCATAAAGAAACATCATCCAAATTATGTACGGTACATTCATGAATAAAATTATAGTTAAGCCGCTCTTAAACAATCTAAAGGCGCAACGCATTGAAGATTGCGGAAGCTTATAGGGTTGCTCAGGAAAGAACGTGTTTGAGCTTGTAAAATGAGGCTTTACTATTAACTGTGACTATACTATTCATTGTAGCTATACAGTTAACTGTGGCTATACTATAAACTGTGGCTAAACTATTAACTGTGGCTATACTATTCATTGTAGCTATACTGTTAACTGTGGCTAAACTATTAACTGTGGCTATACTATTGACTGTGGCTATACTATTAACTGTGGCTTTACTGTTAACTGTGGCTACACTATTGACTGTGGCTATACTATTAACTGTGGATATACCACAAACTGTGGCTATACTATGGACTATGGCTATACTATGAACTGTGGCTAAACCATTAACTGTGGCTATACTATTAACACTGTGGCTTTACTGTTATCTGTGGCTATACTATTAACTGTGGGTAAACTATAAACTTTAGCTTTACTGATAGCTGTGGCTATACTATTAACTGTGGCTAAACCAATCCCTGTGGCTATACTGTTAACTTTTCATGGCTATACTATTAACTGTGGCTATAAAATTAATTCGCACTGCTTTTTCGGATACGCAGATTCTATGTGAGGCTATAAATCGACTATATCCTGGATCGGTCAGCAAAGTTAACACAAGCAAGATGGCCTTTAAGCAAGTATGTCAAGCCTTAGACACATTAACAGCTGTTAGTCCGAGTGTGGTAATGTAATGATGTTAAGCCTTAGTCACTTTAACAGCTGTTAGTCCGAGTGTAGTGATGTTAAGCCTTAGACATATTAACAGCTGTTAGTCTGAGTTTGGCTAATGTAATGATGTTAAGCCTAAGACATATTAACAGCTGT